GGAGCTGGCAGGAAACCTTCCTGGTGTTCTCTAGAAAACAAAGTACATGCTCCCGTAGCAAGTACTCTACACTAACACTATATGGAAGGCTCTCTCAGCTCCCCTCATACCCGCCTGGCCTGTGCCCTTGCTTCCTATGGGCTTCTGTTCAACTTGGGTTTTGGGTTTTTTTTTGGTTTCTTTGAAGAGGCCTTTTCCAATCACTATAAAGAAACAACCATATTCCAGACATAGTCCATCTCCAACAGCAGCAATTATCACCCCTCAGCATCATTCATTTATATATCCGTTCATTTTCTACCCTCCCCTTCTAAAATGCAAGCTCCTCGGGTACAGGGAGTTCTACTTTGTTCACTCTTGTTGACCCAGCAGAGCTGACTTGGAAAGAATGGTGTCTAACACACAGTAGGTGTCCAAAAAACATGGATGGATAAATTATTTCCTATTAGGAGCATATAGCAAGAGACAAATACCAGCCAGTGTCATCTGGATAGCACCACACTTCACATGCCTCTTTATAGACTAGACTGCACTGCCTCCAAGAGCTCTTGGCTGCTCTGCTTTTCCATCCCTATAGGACTGATAACACACAGAAATTTACTCATGTCAAGAATGTGCAGCACTCAGGCTACAGCAGGAAGATCATGAGTTTAAGGCCAGCCTGAGTTACATAGCAAACCAACCAACAAAAACAGATAAAGCTCACTGAATTCCATAAAACACCCACATACCACCCACCCACACCCACACCCACACCCACACCCACCCACACACACACCCCTCCCTGAGGGACCAGCACCCTATCTGTGCAGCCTGTGTGACCCACCAGGGTCAAGGCTACTCAATTATAGAAATTAGTTCTTAAACTTTATGAATGGAATTACATTGTTTCAATGTTTTGAGTTTGAGTCCAAACTTTTCAATGTTTGGACTTTGACATGCTACTTAACAACTTGTGTAGAGGATTCAAACTGCCATGTGTTGCGGAAGACCCACTGTGCATATCCTTTGGTGTGAGATGCTCCACTATACAAATATCATAGGATATGTGTTATATCCAACTTTACTAAAAAATTTCCACCTGACTCTGAGCCTGTCAGAGTCAGTCTTAAGTGAAGTGAAGCACAGAGCAATGTTCACAGCCCATAAGAAGGAATTCTGGCAATGGCTGTTTTTCCTTTGACACCCAGCTAAACACTTGTTTATGAACCAGAAAGAGACAAAGATACAACATGTACAAGAAAACCAAGCTCTGCAGCTAAGTCCACAGCTACAGATCTCACTCAAGGAAAAAAACAAAAACAAACAAACAAACAAAAAAATGCTGTAAGGGAAGGGAGGACAAAGAGGAAAGGAGAAATGGAGACATAAGTCCTCGTCCTAGTATCCAGGCAGGAGCCCACATACGCTGTCCCAGTCCTCACAGAGCAATGCTGCCTCCTGGTGGATCTAGACATCACTTTAAATATATCTGATTTTCAAATCTAGGTGATGGACATATTTACAAGGCTCCAAATGATATTCAGTGTAGATTTTCCCTTTCATTTTTGTTCCTCTCAAAGCAGGATCCTCCCATAAACAGCTATCCAGGCCAGTTCCTTAGAGTGATTAGTGATATGTGCCCCCTGGATTCAGCAGGTGCCTTCTTTCTAATTTTTGCCGTTATTTATCAACACTGTGCCTAAAAACTTGGAAAATCCAAAGAAAAGTCTTTCCACCCAATCTAATTCATTACTGTCTGATTTGTGGCCATTAAGAAAAATCAGGGGTATGAATTCCCAAAGAGGGAGAAATGAAAAATGAGTCTACACATCATTATGAAGAGGCTTGGTGACTGCCTCCACAATCCTTTCCTCAAGGCAGTAACACCTACAACTAGTTTCACACTGTGAAATAGAACAATACATATTTACATGGCATACCACCTTTCAAGTGTCAGATTGTTCTTTCTTGATAATTACCAATTCTAAGGATAACCTAGGAAACTGCCAAGTGTATCTAATTTGTAATAGGGCAAGAAGACTCAAACTTTGAAGATAATTAACTTTAATCAACTTTCTTGACAATTAAATGTTTATATCCTTTAACTCAGAAATTTCATTTAATTAGCTAAATACAGAATATTTATGCAAAATATAGACATCACACTAGTGAAAAAAGTTTAACTGTCAAATCACAGAGATGGATCAATAGTGGTATGTTTTCACCCATTATTTTAAAAAAAATTTAAAGATTTTTTGATAGCACAAGCCTGTAATCCCAACTACTCAGGAAGTGGCAAGGGAGACTAAAATTTAACGCCTATCAGGATTTGAGTAAATTCAAAGTGGGCAACTTAGACAATTGCCCATTATAGTCAAGGTACTTAGATTCAATCCCCAGGACAATTTATCATTTATGGGCTGTTAAGATGGTTCAACAGGTAAAAGTTCTTTTGTGGTGACCCTTTGTTCTCTGGGACCCACAAGGAGTGAAATAACTCCGAGTTGTCCTCTGACTTCCATGTGCACAACATGGCCCATACATTTTAACATTTACACACTAAATTTCATTTTAAATAATTTGGAGGGGCTGGGCTAAAGTAATGGCACAGCGATTACAGTACTGGCTGCTCTTGCACACCAGTTGGGCTCCATTCCTAGCATTCACATGGTGACTTACAACGGGATTTGGCAGCTTCTTCTGGTCTGAGGACACTGAGCAGGCTAGAGTGCACTTAGGTACACAGCCAAGATACTCATAAAATGTATCTTTAAAACAGGGAAAAAAAATTTTTTGAGTACATACAAGACAAAAAAAAATAAAAATAAAAACCCAACACATAGACAAAAGACAAGCATTGAATACTAGGACTCTATTTTCTTTGAACAGTCGTTCTACCTTCTAAGCTGTTTCCCACTGTTAACATCCTTTGGTGCAGTAAGCTTCACAATTCTGATGTTGTTTGTCCTTTCAGTGTCAAACCTAAAAACCCACCATTGTAAATAGTCATGACTTATATTTCCTTCTCATTGGTCAACTTTTCTAGATGGTTGAGTAATGGGAGTGAAGTAGAGGTTATTCCTATCTCAACATCACTTGTTTTAAATACTACTTGATGACTAAATTTACCCTGTCAGGGGCTTCTCTCTCAATCCCATTTTCTCACAGGTTTGTGCCTAGATGCCACTAATGAAATCTTATCACAGCTCTGACAGCTAGCTATACCTTAACAACTTACTTTCAAGATTTTGTCTATTCAGGACAACACACAAAATCAGCATGTCTCTTCAAACTAGAATTTTTGGAGTACTGAATTCATCCCATGAATGTCTTTCCTCATTGCCTTTAATTTTTCATTTTCAGAGTGGAACCTTAGGCCTTTGATTGGATTCCTATTCTGTTATCTGTGATGTCTATTCTTGGTTGTCAACTTGTCTACGTCTGGAATCAACTAAAACCAAAGCAGCTGGGTACACCTACCATAGACTTTTCCTTTTCAAAGGCAACTTGATTTGTAGACCAGGCTGGCCTTGAACTCAGATTCACCTGCCTCTGCTTCCCGAGTGCTGGGATTAAAGGCGTGCACCACTAAACCTGGCTGAGATTTTTTTCATTAAATCATTTGAAGGGGGAGGACCTACTTTTTAATCTAGAACACACCTTCTGCTGGCAGCCTATCGATATGAAAGAAGAAAGTTTGTTCTTTGCCTGCTTAGAGGGGCTGGCAAGTCCATTCCTTCACTGGCATTAGAACCTACTTCTTCAAGACTCTGGCAAATACTAAAGACCAACTGAGACACCTACCCTTGTGGACTAACCTTCTGGATCCTTTGACTTTCCAATGGTAGACAGCCATTATTGAACTAGATGGACCACAGCCTGTATGTAAACCATTCTAATAAATCCTTATGTACGTACATACGTACACATTGTGTTCTAGAGAACTCTTTAATATATACCAAACTCTGGTATATAAAGTTATATCAGCTTCTACCTTACAACTTTGCTGAATTCATTCACTACTTACTGACCTTATGAATTACTTGCAACTTCCTGGACATATGATCCTATCATTTGCAGATATTTACTAACAATATTATCTTCCCAAGTGCCATAGCTTTGGCTTGCAACAAGAAGTGGAAAAAATGACAGTGAACACAGGAACTTGTTATGCTGTTGGCTGTACAGCCACTCTTCTCACAGTGCTAAAGATTTAATCCAGCTTTGCAGATACAGGGCACATACTCCATCACTAAGCTACAGCCCACTGTCCCACCAGGCCCTAGCTGAGGGACTTTTGTTTAGAATTTCCTTCTGTGCCTAGTTTGCTCATGGAAGGAGAGTGGATTTAATCAAATGTTCTCTGTGTTGTTGAGATAACCCTGACCCTTTACCTCTGCTAATGTGATTTTCTGGAGCTACAAAGACATGCCAAGAAACCCAACACTTCCATGGTTCACCACTAGTCTTGCTGTACTAAGTATTACAGTGTTGCTGACTATCTCACCATCTAAACAAAGTGAGTACAAGAAATCATGGCAATCCCATTTAAAAGTCAGGTTACAGTATGCACATGTGTGTGACCCTGAGAAAAAATTCTAAGAGTACCCCACCTTTAGTGTTTGCTTCATACAGATCTGCCTACCCAAGTGATGCAACACTTAGCATATGAACGTTTCTTTCCAAAACTGACCTTTAAATTTAATGGATAAAAAGCCTTATAGTCCAAACAACAATAAAATATTATAGGGAAGCAGCTAAGAGTATGGTTAGTTTTTCAAAGTAATCCCTTAACTATTAGGCACTCATCAAAGGCTTTTCTAAAGACAAATGGGTGTATCTACTGCATGTATGAACAGTCTCTTAAGAGTTTATTATGGGGGGGGGGGGGTGGGCTGACTATGTACAGCCTTTTGGGAAACAGCAAGGAGCTGAGGAGAACCAAGATGAGTCTAGGGCCTTGGAGGGCACATTCCCCAGGGAGGGAGCCCTGAAAGGAAAACCAGACGATCCAGGGAGACTCCATGAACAACAAACAGGTCTGTATTAACTCGGCCCAAGGGAATGGGACCCACACCTCAGTGGAGCTACTGCCATAATGCTGTTCGAGGATCAAAGCAGACCTGAAGCAAGAGAAAGTTTAGTCAGAACCTGATCTGTAACACAAACTCCCACCACCACCCCTTCCCACAGTCTGCAGATAACTATCAAGTGACTACAGGGATGGATTGACTGGGCTATGTCCATAAAAAACACAAATGCAAAACCAAAGAGAAAGAAAATGGTCATGAAATCTGAACATTGTTTATCTTAAGACCTACTATGACTTCATGGAAAGAACACAGGGCTGGTAGTCAGGATATTCTCTGAGCTTTCTGTTTAACAGACTCACTGTGTAGACCTGCTGTCCTCAAACTCAGAGATCCACCTGCCTTTGGAATGCTAGGATTAAAGGCATGAGCCACTATACCCAGCAAGACTCTCTTAATTAGTCAAGGGCATCAGACAGTCTCTAGTGTGATCTCAGGGACTCTCATCTTACATCCAGGGCTGCTGGACTAGACACTGAACATACCTCTGTTCCACTAGGGAGGCAAGGCCAACCTGTTAATGCTTACTCCCTCCTCTCTACTTTCTGGACACAGCTATCCTCCAAGAGCTCAATTCCCTAAATTTGAGGCCCCAAAACAGATCTGGTCTAAAGCCAAAGTCACTACTGTAGGCACTTACCTCGCATCCCTGGAGGAGGAGGTCGCATTCCAGGAGGGGGCATTCCCATTGGAGTTCCTCGGCCAGGAGGGATCCCCATTGGAGGACCCATAGGAGGCCTCATGCCAGGAGGTGGGCCCATCATACCTGAAGGAAAAAAGTCCAAGAGACCTCTTAAAAGCTTGGAGGAAACATACAAAGTTGTATACCAAGTCAGACAGCCCAGTCTATCCTCTCAGCCTCTACAAGCAAAGGGGGCTCCTAATGGCTCTTATCCAGCTAGTTCCCAACTCAGTCAGCCAGGCTGGATCTCAGAGTAATCCTGCTTAATTACACAAACTCATCATCAGTTTCAGTTAAGGATCTATTTCATCATGAATCCAGCTAAGGCATTTTGTGACTAACTAGTACTGGTCTCCTCTGAAGATATTTACCTGGAGGAGGCGCCCCTCGGCCCATAGGTGGAGGAGGACCCCCACGACCAGGTGGGTACTGAGTTGGGGCTCCTGCAATACTGGCTGTGGCTGCAGCTGCAGCAGCTGCAACAGTGCCTCTTCCTTGTGGAGTCATCACCTAAATAAATAACAAAGAAGAATTAAAACACTAGTCAACACATCCATCTTCCCACTCTTCTCCCCAGTTGCCCGAGCCTGAAATCTCCTAACCCTACAACTCACACCATCAGACTCCCCATGTACAAGGATACTATCAGGAAGCCTGAATGCCCAATTTCCAGCCTCTTAGCCTGACATTATTATTAAGGGCTCCCAATCCAACCTGGGAAAAGCACTTGCAGTTAAGACTGGTAACATAGAAAAAGAAAAGTACACTTACTCTCACAAGAACATTTTGCTAAATTCAGTTGGCTGGAATACCTTTTGTTTGGCTCTTCAGACAAACCCTGATAGCCTGACAATCACAACTCATGAGGAGACTGATTGGTCAATCTGGACGCTTCGTCAAGCTGCAGATTCTCCCCTATCCTTTTGGCTACCAGAAACTAGTAGTATTCCTCCAGTGCCTCACCTGCTGTGATGGGCCTCCAACCCCTCGGACTGGCCCAGCAAGTCCTGCAGGAGCCTGGGGCATGGGGACACCAGCTGGGATTCCTCTGCCAGCAGCCCTGCCAATACCTGGCCCCCCAGCAGCTCCAGCAAGTGGCACTCGGGCAATACCAGTCTGTAAAAGTTAAAAAAAAAAAAAAAAAGTTGTAGAATACTATTTTAACTAGGCAAAGATGTTTTACATTTGTTTATGCTGAATTTGTTTAACAATGTAAGGATGTCTGATTGGTCTAAGAGCTGAACAGCCAATAGCTAGGCAAAGAAAGGATAAGCTGGGCTGGCAGGCAGAAAAAATAAATAGGAGGAGAAATATAAGCTCAAGAAAGAACAGGAGGAGAAAGAGGGGGTCACACCTGGGACCAGAAGCCAGACAGCTAGAGATAGCAGAAAGAGAAGGTAAAAAGCCCCAACACAAAACATTAAGAGATTGAGTTAAAAGAGCTAGCCAGAAACAAGCAAAGCTAAAGACTGGGAATTCAAAACTAGTAAGAGCTGGTTGGTGCCCCCTCACCTCCCTCATAACAGGGCCTGGTACAAAAGATTCTGAAATGCTCAGTGACCTAAAGAATTCTAAGTACACCCTGGAATAGCACTGCTAAGAGTCTATTGGATTTATAAGGCACCTAAATAGTACTAACTATATATACTAACATACATACTGCACCATTCTTCTTCCATGCAAGAACAAGAACATAACTATCACCCCTTAAAAGGACTAGAAAGTCTAGAGAAGCATGTCACTCAATATCTACATTCATTCCTATAAAAATACAATAACACCTGACCTGTCAACCGAGACAGGAGATACATTGACTCTGATTCTCCCTTGCTAAGTGACAGTGGTCAAATAATATCTCTGGTCAAATAATATCTCTGATACGTATTTACAAAGAAAAGGGGTGTAGAGTTCAAAATGAGAAATGAGATAAACTACTTTCTACTCAGCTGAGAGGCTATCTGTAAGTCATCAGCAGGACTTAAATCAAGAGGATAACTGAAGGATGTTTACAAACTGAAAAGGCAGAACAAACTTTTTCACATGTTACAAAGAAGCATGTGTGTGGATAAAAATAAACAAGGGGAGCTGATGAGGCAGCTCAGTGGCAGAGTGCTTGCCCAACAGTCCAAACAAAGCACTGCAAAAATTAAAACAGACACATACATACATAAATGCAAGCTAAGAATATTCTCCTGATTAACAATATCTTAAAATAAAAAGAGAAAACATTTGGTTAGGTTCTTTTTAGACAGCTCTATTTATAAACATACTAGGTGTTTGCAGAACCAAGATCATCTCGGATCAAATGTCAGGATTGCCATTTACTAGCTGTGACATCTTAGGCAAGATGTCAATAATAAACAAACTTAGTTTATTTCATCCATAAGGTGAGAATAATTTTTCAAAAGCAAACTAAAATCTTCTTATGATTAAATAAAGCAGACGATCAGTAAATACTACTCTGCAATACCAAAGCATCCATAAAGTCTATGATTTGGAGCTGTTTGTTTCTGAGACAGGGTCTTACTATGTAGCCCTGGCTAGCCCTGAACTCAGATCCACTTGCTCTGCTGGGATAAAAACTGCACCAGCACATCCAGCAGGAGCTACTATTTAAATTATTTCTTTTTGAGATTATAATTACAGTTTTCCCCTCCATCCAAACTATCCCTCTTTTTTCATTATTTGTTGTTACATAAATCTATAGAGCTGTTAATTTTTATTAAGTGACCAAATGGCCTCAGGTAGCTCCCCTGCTGACTGGGTTCCACTGAGGAGATTAAAGTCACAAACCCTAGCTCTCTCCGCTCATTTGCTATATGTAAAGGAGTGCACAGTGCCAGTGCCAGAGTACCTAAATGAGCCTAGCTCCAACGAGGGCCTCCCTTCTACAGGTTTCAGGAGAGACTTACATCTTTGGGAGGAGGTCCTTCTACTGTCATGGAGACCAGGTTCTCCCCTCGAAGCAACACCAGACCGAGAACTCGCTTCTCTTCCCTTTCTGCTTGTTTGGAGTTCTTTGGCCTAAAATTGAATTTTTAGATGAAAAAGTATTAAAAATTAGGGAACAATTAGGGTTACCCAACTAGGAACCTCCAAGGTGTGCTTTATATTGTATACTGTATACTGTACACTGACAAAAAGTATATAAACTTTCTAAAACAGGTCCTCTGGACAGTATCCCAGGCTAAGTGACCTCATATGGCTAGAAGGCTGGCTGTTTTCTACCAAGCCAAGAAGATGCACAGACAAGACACAGGACACAGGACAGGACACAGGACACAGGACAAGAACAAGAAAGCCCAGCCCTATCGAAGATACTTCCACAGTCAATCAAAAATGCCTTTCCTGATTTTCTTTGATGTTACCTCGTTCCCTGTCTTCAGCTTAAGATTTCATATACCAGAGGCAGGTTAAACAATTCCTCATCAAAAGTGAGTACCCCCCACTCCACATTCATGCAGTCACACCAGGAACAATTCAACTTCAAGCTCCAATTCCACCCTTCACCTTACATGAGAAACAGAAGGAATAGAGGAAAAGGGAGGAAATTTCACATACAAAGAAGTTGAATTTTACAAGAGCCACATAGACATTTCACATGGGTGACCTCAAACCAGAACCCACCCCAAACACCAACAACTGGAAAAGATGAATGAAATGAAAATGTAAACTAGGAAAAAGTAACTGCTGATGGGAACAGTAAGCCAAAGCTACAGTGTTTGTTGAGACAGGGTTTCTCTGTGTAACAGTCCTGGCTGTCTACATTCTGTAGACCAGGCTGGCCTGGAACTCAGAGATCCACCTGCCTCTGCCTCCCAAGTGCTGGGATTAAAGGTTCAAAGTCTTTAAAATAAAGAATATCCTGATTTTTAAAAATAAGCCTTTCATGATGAAAAAAAAAAGCAGGTTTAAGTTTTTAAATTTTTGTCATTAATTTGGAAAAAAATTTAGCAGCACCTTTTTAAAATCAGCTTCGTTTTTAAAATGGAAATTCCACAGTGATGGCCCTACTCTAACACATACCAGGCACCCAGGCATCTCTGCATTTTTATTCTATATCTGACCCTGGGCCATAAAAGACTCTCAAAAAGAATTTAGGGGAATTCAATCAGTACATAATACAAATGCTGCATGTCAGGAGTGTGCATATGACCACACTTAACATATGACATGTTGAGCCTCAAGATTTCTTGAATATATTAAGTCAGGACTGAAATAGACCACATTGCTTGATGGTCCTGGACTTATAGAATTGCAGCAAGTGAGATGAGAAAACATCTCCAATTTGTTCAGAAAATGCCAACAAAAATGACTGGCCCCAAACCCACACGGGGAGCAGAGCACTTACCCTGAAGAGGGTCAGAGGCTTCTTAAAGCAGTTTCAGACCAGGCTGCAATAGGAGAGCCCTTTAGGCTACAGCTTTACAAATAGGTAATGAGGCCAGAAAATCAAGCTCTCCCCCCTCACACACCTGTGGGGAGAACATGAGAGCCCTTTACCCCAGTACCCAGGGGCATGCAAACTCAGAAAAATTAAAAGCCTAGCAGCCCTCCTCACCAACTTCTACTTTGCTAGAATTGGAGAGCAAGGTTTTCTGGATTAAGGAAGAGATTCCTTAGCAGCTAACATTCCCCTTTAAGTTTCTCCCTTCAAAAGCAAGTGAGCAAACAAGAGCACCTAGCTGAATGGCCATCCCACTCTTGGCCCGCCCATCCATCCAGTCCATCCCAGTTCCTTCTCCCTCCCAACAGCCCTTTCCTTACTTGATCTTCCTGAATTCATCACAGTCACATAGGATCAAATTCATATGCTTGTCAAAAGCTTTGAAGGTCCCGATGAAGATCCGGCCATCTTGCAGGATGCACCTCATCCTGTAGTCAATGTGCTGCAGCATCTTGCTGCTCTTACCCACAGTCTGCAAGGAGAGAGCAGGGAGCAGTGAGGACTCACTCACACACACTTCTGCTCTTACCCACAGTCTGCAAGGAGGGAGCAGGGAGCACTCACTCACACACTTCTGCTCTTACCCACAGTCTGCAAGGAGGGAGCAGGGAGGACTCGCTCACACACTTCTGCTCCCCCCCCCCATCTTCCACCACAGCCTACTTTTCTATTCCCAACCTTCTCAACAATTTCCTGACATCTTCCAAACAAGGCCCTTTTCTGAGACTCTTATCAACCAGCTTTAGCCTTGATTTCTGCCCATTAATGTGCTATTTTCCCTGCCCTTAAAACAGGCAATCTCCCTGGGACTACAACTTTGTCTATGTTGTATCTGTCTCAGGAGAGTTAAAGTGTTCACAAACTAATCAAATCCACCCATACTAGACCTAGTGGGCATTAAGCCATCCACCACTATATAGACTCAGTTCTACGAACAACTAAATCCATCTAAACTAAGAACTGGAATTCAACAGGCACTAAGTGGATTCACTTAATTAAGGAAAAGCTTGTTACCAGAAAGTGAAACCAGCTCTGAAACAAGAACAGGAGTAGGGTAACTTGGGCAACTTTTCTGGGCCAGAGTGCTAATTAGTTTGGATACTTAATAGTCTAATATATAAATTGTTACCCTTAATTTTTAATTAAGGCAAACAACATTCTCTATCCTGGTTCCCAATGTAACTTTGCAAAAATAAAGGCGCTTATACACACCCCTAGGTGAACAGAGGTATCTGTGGTAGTCTCTCTCAGAAACGTATCAGTTACCCACAACTATAACTGGCATTATGTCACTTTTAACTACCCAAGTTGTCTTCTCTGTACCAGGAACGCTGTTCACCCCTGTGAGCATTACCCAGCCCTAACCTGAAAACCAGATTTTGTATTTTTTCTGCTTAAATAATCATCTCAAAGAGCTCTGTTACTAGGATCGGCGTATATCGGTCCAATAGCTAATATTTAATAGCTATGTATGGCTAGGCCCTTGAAAAGGATTTATCTCCTTTAATCCTCAAAACTGGGTCCACTGTCATTCCTTTTTACTGACCAAATAGACGACCCAAGCTGAAGGTTAAGTAAGGACTTGTCTCAGTCAACTCTCAAAAACAATAACCTATTTTCGCTACCTCGGGTTTCTTCAGCTACATAACTAGACTAATATTTTTGGAGACATTCGAGGCATTTGTTAATTTGCTCTGTAGCCAAAACTGGCCTCAAAATTCAAGCTCCTCTGCCTACTATGCACAGAAATTACAAATTTCGAGCACTGGCCACTTTTCCCGGCTGACCTTTCTAAACCTAAGTCCATGAAGCCTGTGAAAACTCTTCCAGCGATGTCTTACTACCAAGAGGGTAAACAAGATGCAGGGACTTCAGCAACCAGGTTCCTGACAATTCGTTGCCTTCTACTGGGCCCTCTCGGTTCTCCAGATTTCTAACCCTCCCTCGTACGGGGGAGCGGGGCGCTCCTAAACAATCTCTCCGGCCCCCCCCCCCCCCCCCCCCCTGCCGTTACTTTTTTGCCTAAAGCCGAACTGCCATAGAGAATCACATTAGCCCTGCACAGAGCCAGAAACTGAACCAACGCACAACTTCTTTCAGGGTGCAGCCCCAGCGCCTGACATACCCCAACATAAAAATACGCGTAGCAGGGTCGCGCTCTGCATGCAA